TTATACAGTACATCTTAATAGTCTTTGCATTCTTAGAGACAGTTATTCCGCATTCTAGCTGCTTCTTATGCAAACAGTTCTGTAAGTTGGACGATTACTCGTCGGGACGTATTTCTTGAGTAGACTCACATTTTCAATGTATTGTTAAAGTTTCATTTGTCACTTCCAACTCTATTTTACTTTGCAATGGCGATGAATAAACGGATTTAGTGAACATAATTAATGTGTGATTTAGTTTGTAATAAGAAATGTGATTTAGTAAATATATATATAAAAGAATATATATATATATATAAAAGAAAGTCGTGTTAGTTACACTATTTATAAATAAATCAAGAACGGCTTTACCTATATGGCTGAAAATTGGTGAGGTAGCTTAGAGCCAGGAGACGGACATAGGATACTATTTATCATTTTTTTTCGAATTTATGGTTTGAAAAGCTGCTTTAATTTACTAATATTATAAATGCGAATGTTTAGATAGATGTGATGTGGATAGATGGATGAGTGGGCTACACTAATTAAGTTTTTTTATATATCCACGCGGACGGAGTCGCGGGCGACAGCTAGTTTAATATGTTAAAGTAAAAAAAAACAATTTACATAAAACAAATAACTATTTTGTAAATACATCATGAGAATAATAAAACAACTAATAATAAAGGTAAAAGAACAACTTGACTGAAAGAAATTTGTAAACTTAACTAATACAGTTAAATTCAAGAATACTGCAATAATTACGAACTAAGTAGTCTTAGTTGGAACACGAATTGCGAAGTTGAAGTTAAATTTAAAATCCGTGTTTTAATGCACCCCGACATTTAACAATGCAGCTAGAATTGTGAACAGAAAAGTATCCATTTTAATTCGTCAACTGTATTTAAATTGTAAACCGAAAAGCTTTTCTATTGTTGCATAATTGCAATGGATTTGTAAAACTGCTATTCCATAAATTACAAACATTTAAAACTCAGATCATACATTTAGTACATATGTAAAATACTGGCTGTTGTCCGCGACTCCGATAGCGCGGAGTTAAAAAAGAAAAAACGAAATAAGTAGCCTATGTGTTCTTCCAGACTATGTTTTACATCTGTGCCAAATTTAATGAATATCCGTTAAGCGGTTCCAGTGATACCTTCTAACAAACATGCATCAATCCAAACTTTCGCATTTATAATATTAGTAAGATTACTGTCGTGAATCAATCAAAAACAAATCTCTGAGAAATTTGTAGTCAAGTAGCAGAATACTACACTTTAGGAGACTTCGTTCTTTTAATTTCACTAGTTCTTTTTATATGCTTACATCGACTAAAGAAATATAATCTTACTTCTTACTATTATAATATTATAAATACGAATGTTTAGATGGATGGTTGTTGTTTGAAGATATCTCCAGAACAGCTGAACGGATCTCGACTAAATTTGATATACATATAGAACGGAGTCACGGGCGACAGCTAGTAACTTTATAAATTTGATTTCACATTCAAATACTTGTTTACAAATATATATAAATGCGCATATTGCAACATGAGCGCCTGACAACAATGTTATAAAAATAGTATCAAAGGTGAAATGTAACACTTTGTATGATGCAAATTACCTAGAATTCATATAAATAAAAATTTATAAGAATTTACAGCACGTGTCGATTCAACGCGTCTTTTGCAATATTTAAAGTACAAATAATATAGACAGTGATTTGACTTTTCGTATATAGTAATAGATTCAAAAACTATACCTAAAACTAGCGGTTGCCTGCGACTCCGTCAGCGCATTATTAAAAAAAACTTAACTAATAGCCTATGTGTTCTTCCAGACTATAATCTGCATCTATACGAAATTTCAGCGGTATCTATACAACCGCTATAGAGATACATTTTCACACGTTTGTGGAAAAATTGAACCACCCAAACTTTAGGCAACTCAAAGTTGTTGACACTAATTACTAAAATGTGCATATAATTCAAAATGGCCGCCGCTGTCTCCTAATATATTTATTGTTCTTACATTTTATCATGATTTTAAAGAAAAAGATTATAAGATAAAATTATATAATACATTCATCAGCATGAATTGGTAACTTAAATGTACCTATTTTTTAAACAATTATAATTTTCACTTATAATGATGATTATGTTATTTTTTCTAAAAACACCTTATCAATCACGTTTAGATAACTTAAATGTTTCGCATTTTTAAATTGGTACATTTTATATCTCATTAATATGAATATTATCATTTCCGTATTAGCATTTTGGAAAAAAGGTTTTTAATGTACTATCAAGTTGTATTTAAATGATTTAAAACTATAGCATTCTATGCTATGATATAAACTTAAAATCTATATATATATATAAAAGAAAGTCGTGTTAATAAAAATCATCAAATAGTAAAATATTTACGTTTACTTTTAAATTTTATGTCATTTAAATTGAAAGACAAAAAGAGTAAAAAAAACAGTACCGTTACTGTTTACCCCATTAATTGCAACTTTTCATAAGCTATATAGATAAGCGATAAGAAACAGATTCTTCCTTCCATTTTCAAATAGCACAAACAATAATTATAATTTTAATGTTTTCTGTACACAATGAAGGTTTTTTCTGTTATTTTATTCAAGAAATTATAGGAGTGACGACAATCTGTATTAAAGTTGTTTCAGTGTTGTATATACACGTAGAGTAAACTTAGAATAACTTAACTCAAATCATAAAAATCAGGACGAGTCATTTCCAAACAAAAAATTATCATCTTTGAGCCACTTGGGGGTTCTGGGACAAAGAAACAGTAGCCGAAACGTCGAAGACAACTTTACTAAGTTCATTTTAATATCTAGGTTAAAACTTAAGTTTGGTTACCAATTTTTAATAATATAAGTAAAGTACCAAAGTCTCTAGTTCGTCACGATGAATTACAAAATTTTATGTGGTACAAGCTTTTAAATTTGTTCATTCAGACGTCTAGACATGCGATAATTTCATGTTTTATATGTAACTGTAGAAAAAACTTATCGTGTTAAAACTCAATTTTGTAGCAAAACATTTTAGTGATAAGTTAAGAGTGCCATATATTTTAAATTAAGTAGTAAAAAAAACTTGAAAGAATAATCTCTTGACCGACATACATTGATAAAGTTACTAAAATTAGTAATCATAATTTAATTCTTACTAGAAATCATTTGTATCATTAGAATATAATTCTAATTATTAAAAATATATTCCAAAAACAATAGATAACCCTTCATTGAATGTATTTTTATCTTCTAAATAAAATTCTCGTGTCACAATATTAATTACCATACTCCTCTGGGACGGCTTGACTGATTTTATGTCATTTTTATGCATATTCAGAAGTTCTGAAAATCGGCTACTGTCTGTTTTTAATCCCGCGCGGACAGAGTCGCGAGCGATAGCTAGTATCATAAACTTCGTGCAGACTGAATCGATGAGTCGGCACCAAATCCCTGCTTGCACGCTCATTTGTGATAGTCTCTGGATGTCTTGTACACTAAAAAACTGTTTAAGTGAGCATTAACTATGAATTCGGTAGACAGACACGTTTCAGATGTACCAATATCGTTGCGGCCTCCAGGAGGATATGATAATACAGGGTGTTGTTATCAAAAACTTGAAATTTGAATTTCAATGCGGTCGAAATTTCCATAACAGTATTCTTTTGAATTGTTCATTCTCGTGCGTCAATAGCGACGGGAATAATACATACTTAATATTATTAAGATTTCGTATTTTAGTTCGTTTCAAAGGATTTTGTAGGCAGTTTATGTATGAAATCGAACCCGAATATAAAATACGATCATGTTATTTTCCATTCAGCACGGTATATATTTACATTTAAATAAAGTGTCAAATTATGTATTTGGTTGTTTTCAATCAACTGACAGGAGAGTAATGTTTTTCATGTATATATGATTGTAGGTATATAATTTATGTCCCTATATTGTACTGTGTATTTGCGACCATACACTTAGCTGATTAGTTTAAACTTTGAAGTATAAAATGTCAATTAATTATTATTTTTTTAATTTCTAATATATTAACAGTGGTAGACGCCAACAACATCTGTTGCACGAATTCACCGGTACAATACTACGACCACTTAGAAGTAATACTGCGTTTCGTCTGATGAGTGAACGTACCGGAAGAGTAATTCTAATTCATGTTCCCTTCCTTGTATTTTATAAAAAAGTGGGAAAGGGAAGGGAAGTGGATTGGGACGCACAGGAAGGGGATATATCCCCTTTCTGTCCGTCCCCTCCTTCGTCGTTTAAAGGTAAATAACGCATCTGCAATTGTGGACATAAATGGGCAGCGGTCGCTTGCTCGTTTGCCACTTAATTATAGAGACAAAAAAATATGTTTTTTTTTTATTTTCAGATGATGAGACCGAGGCCGATATAAAGACTTTTTATACGAGGCTTCAGTTATTCTGTAGTGACTACAATAACGATGTTTGTATTAAAGCATTTTAACTGAGAAATTTTTAAGTCTGTGAATTATAAGTTTATAAATTACTCAATATTATCTAAAAATTGATTTCTTTTACATTTAAATGACTATTATATGATTATTAATAATATGAATATTTGTGTGTTTAAACTTCTAAGGAAATAACTAATTTTAAAATAATATGCGTCATGAATGATTACATTTTATTATAATAGTAGCATCATACAAATTTTAATGTCGCAATGACTTGATTTATATTAAACTTGTAAGAATGAATTACGTAAAATTAATAAACTTAAATTATAGCGCCACGAACCAAGCAATTCATTGGAAAAGCAATTTTTACACTATTTACTAACAAATACAGTTGTAGTACTGCACAAATTACTCTTAAAAATGTACTTGAACTTAAGTAAAAAGTGAACAATTACTTTCAATTATCAGAGACTATCTGTGGCCGATGACAGTACAATCGCTTTAACATCAATAATAAATAGACGATACGTGTTGACTTTATACTTTGAGCGTACATGATAAAACTATTCAGTTTATTCCGACATCTCGTGCGCAGTGGACGCGTTCAAAATGACGAGCAAAGAAGAGGCCCCTTCTACTTTTTGGGACGAATTAACGAGCCCGCTTAACTTAGTGTTAGTCGGTGTTATTTTGTACCTTATCTACAAGATTTTAAAGTCTCATTTCCAATCAGAGGACGACACACCGGCCCCGCCACCGCAGCGTATGAAAAAACTTCGTAAAGATTTAACTACGGCTGAATTAAAGAAATATGACGGAACGGGACCTGATGGAAGAGTGCTTTTGGCTGTAAATGGTGTGATTTTTGACGTAACAAGAGGAAAAAGATTTTATGGGCCAGGTAAATATTCTCCGTCGTTTCATTCACTTCATTCCACTTCAACATCATTACGCGATAATGTTATCGTAGTAGGTAACGCTATCGAGTACGCGCCATCGTTGTTTCTTTTTAACGAAAGGAAATTTGCTTTTATAATTTTCAATTTCACTTAGTTTACACACATGTTTTTAGTTAAACATAAACACATTCGTTCATATTAATATGCACTAATATTAAATTTCGTGTCAATGACAGCGACATAAGACCGGCACGTTTATAACCGGTTTTTATGCTTTCTGCTTACAAACATGGCGACTATAAACAACATAGCTAAGACTAAAAAATTAGAAAATTCTTGATCCTAATTAAACCGTCTTATATTACGTTGATTTGGGCATTCCATAGCCTAGTTAACTGCCAAAACATCAGATATTGCGCAACATTGTAACGTTATCTACATCATAACGGTAACATGTCTTACTACACTGATTCTAACGATCAAGAACTATTCTATGCATATTTAAGTATACATTGTATGATTAACATAATCTGTAATACATAAAAGTGCTGTTAAAGAAGTAATGTAATGCTGACAGGAAAAAATGCCGGCTAGCATACTTGCAAGTCATTTGCCAGATAGAAACAACGTTATAATTCTATCTCAGCTCATTAAATTGTTTTATGATGATGGTTATAGACACAATAAAATGAAGCTTAATATTTCTAATAAGTTTATATACATTTTAAATGACAAAATTCTCGCGTTTAGGTAAAAAGTAACAAAAATAAACGTAGATGAAGTTCGTGAAATCAGATTCAAGATTTAACTAAAACTCTTAAATAAATTATGTTTATAAACAACTGCATTAAGGTTTTTAATTCGTCAAAACCATACAGAAAGTGCCAGCGACATGGAGAACTTTGCCATTTGTTGGCATAGTAACCATCTGATGTTACTCCGGACTCGACCTAAATAACAAGGACATCCTGTATAACTAACTATAAGAGATATTAAAATGATAAACATAATATCATCTACACATTAATACGAGAAGCGAAATTTTTTACCTCTTTTTATGGAAATTCCACGAACGGATGAACGAGAATTTGACACAGGTAAAGTTGCCGAAAAGAATTGCGTATAAAGTAATCCCAAATAAAAAAAATATTTGATTATGAATTATGGTTGAATTTAGTCCAATGTGCGAGTACTAGTAATAAGCAATATAAAGTCAAAATAAAATTGCAAATAACATTGATAGACGGCGCATGCGACCTTGTGTCGTACGAGGTCCAAAGTCAACCGTTGTTTAGAATTCATATGCGAATGATTTATTCACAAACACTCAGACAATACTCAGTTATCAGAATCAAAGCAAATTGAAACAGCTAAAGATACCACGTAATATATGAAATTGTAACACAATGAAAATCTAATTGATACTTAACACAATACAAACATTATTATAGTGGTAGAGCCCGCTTTAACATCTTCGCACGAATTGTCCCGGCTCGCCCGCTGAAATACCACGACCACACAGAAGACAGGCGTGAAGTGGAAGCAATTCCGCGTTTCGTCTGATGAGTGTGCGTCCCGGAGGCCTAATTTAGTCCTTTTTCACTTTCCAGCCTTTTCATTATAAGGAAAGGATGGGAAGTGGAAGTGGACTTTTCGGATGAGAGGATGCATGGGAAAGGAAAATATTATTTCTGTGCATCCTCTCCTCCGTCGATTAAAGGTAGGCAGCGCATATGCAATTGCGTTTGGCTATGGGCAACGGTCACTTCGTTATTTCAGCGATTTCAGGTGGCCGCTCGCTCGTTTGCCACTTTATGATATAAAAAACAGAAGAAATAATTTATAACTGTAATATCTTTTGTTCAAAAAATCTATCCTGTATTAACAGTAAATTTCGACTGCATTGACATATACTGTTGTCTCTGTTTACTCAAAGGGAATGAGTGGGATGCCAATTTATTATGAGGTTGAATAGACGTCTTTAAAAATAATTATATTATTCGTCAGTACTTATAATTTAATGAGTCTTTTGTATACTTTGAATAATTCCATTGCGGCCTCTAGCGACGATCATCGAGTACGCTATACAAAGAATCTTCTCGTCTCTGTTAAATCTATCTGTCCACCGGAGTTTTGGTCTCACTCGAATTCGATTTTCGATATTTGACAAGTTTAAATAGGAATTACATATATTTCATACTGATATTTAGAGAGAAACATGTGTTTTATTATCTGTATGTGATATTTTCAGTTATCGTATATGACGCAATATTACTTCAACATAAAAAATCAGTTATTTGTGATCTTTACACAAATATAACTTTCTTAAATACGTACCTATCACTATCTATTCACCTTTGCAATAATGACATGCAAATAAAGAAAATTCTGATAACAATATTACTAATTGATAAACACGTTTGCTTATAAACCTAATTGTGACTAATTAAAGTAGTAAATAAAATTAATCTTGCTATTAGTAACATTTTTGTTGCTTAAGTTTTTAATCACAGACAAATTCATAGATTATTTTTCTTTTCAAGTATTTTCACCAAGAATTATCTTAAATCACTCAATCGGAATTATCTCAGTGTGTTGGGAAAACTTCTTGCAATTTTATAAGCAGTTTAATTCCAAACAGAATAGTCACTGGACCACCCAGAAAAATGAATCCATGCAGTTAATGTTACTGTTCATTTTCTTCTTTTATTATTTGATTTGTATAACTGACACAAATGTCTCAATGAGCACAATGCATAAATATTAAAAATGCGAATGTTTAGATGGATGGATGGATGGCTGGGTGTTTGGTTGAAGGTATCTCCAAAACGGCTGAACAGATCTCGATGAAATTTTGCATTGATGTAGTACATATTCTGGAAGAACATATAGGCTACTAATTTAGTTACTTTTTAATTGCGAGCGACGGAGTCGTGGGCGACAGCTAGATTTACAATATGGTAACAATTACTTCATACATTTAATCATTTTTTTTTTTAATATGTTTTACTGGTTGGTTAATGGCTGTTGTTATCGAAGTCATTAAAAAAGTGTTTCCTTGTTAACTTCAGGTGGTCCATACTCGGCGTTTGCTGGCAGGGATGCTACACGTGGCCTAGCAACGGGCTCAGTGTCTGCAGAAGACAAAGAATGGGATGACGTCAGCGATCTCAATGCCGATGAGATTGCGTCGGCAACAGAATGGGAAGGTCAATTCAGGGGTAAGAGAAATAAAACATCTTTTTAAATTTAATTTTTCATTAATTTTCTTCTTTATTTGAGAAATAAGATTGATAAAATTCACTTCCAACATGTGCAGTAGAAACCTACCGTAATATAGCATCACTTATCTTCACTACAACGCTATAGAATATGTACAAATATTCAATCTATTCACGATGCCACAAGATTGCTATTACTGCTAAAAACAAATTGAAGTCCATTGAAGAAATAAGTTGCTCGTTACAATGAAAGTAAAAGTGAATGATCGGACAGTAACCCAATGCCCCCGGCGTAAGACGAGTTGTTAATACTAGTATATCTTGTTTTCAGTTATTCTCCCATATTTTAATGCAAGATATGCTATGCTTCCAGCGGTTTGAACATAACCTGTTTAAGAATGACTACTTTGTACGCTTGAATGTCAGAATACAAAAAAGAAAAAATAACCGTTCAGTAACAGTAAAATAAACAAAGAAAAAATTAAAGGGCATTTTGTAATAACAAAAACCAGAGCGAAAACAAACAATTGTGTTCATTTATTGGATTAATTGTTTTTAATAGTTTAGTTTGCAATAATACACACTACTACTACGTTACTTTACAAATCTCTAGAAATCTGCTAATATTATAAATGCGAATGTTTAGATGGATGTATGTTTGTTACAAAGTATCTCCCGAACGGTTGAACGGATCTCGTTGATATTTGGCATACATATAGAACATAATCCGGATCAACACATAGGCTACTAATTAATTTTTATTTTTTAAAACTCCGCGCGGAGAGTCGCTGGCGTGCGTTAGTACATATAATATTTTCAAAATTCATTTTAATGTTTTTATTTCTTATGTTTGCAGAGAAATATGACATCGTTGGTCGGCTGCTGAAGCCAGGAGAGACACCAAATAAATACAGTGATGACGAAACAGAAGACAAGAAGGATCAGTAGTCTTACTGAACTTAAGTCGTTGAGTATTATTCTTAGAGCAATGTGTGACATTGTAAAATGTGTTTGTAAAAAAAAAAGTTAAATTATAAGTAATATTTTAACAGTTAAATATTTTATTTCGTAATGTCTCAAGTATCGAAAGTTTGAGGACGAAAAATAATTGTACTTCACGGATTAACACTTCTTAGTTATCTGAGCGATATCTGCGGAAAATCCCAATTAGATCTATACCTCTAAAACCTAAGCTCACATCGGACCGTAGGTTGTGCCGATTTTTCTACGTTTTTCCTTAACATAACATGATTGATAACACTATATAGATGTTTACAATTTTACTTTAAACTATTATTCTAAAGGTAATAATGCCATCATGCAATCCATTTTACTTTTAAAGTAACTTATATTATTCACGTATCACAACTGTTAGTTTAAGTTTTCAAGTTAAACTAAGAGAAAATCTCGGAGGTAGTCAACAAATAAGCATAATGTTCCAATCGGGAAATCGTGGACTTTGGGAAAACATGTAACTCCAAATTGATACAAACGGCTCTTTACACGATAAATTGGAACGGGGAAAATATTCCAGTGAACCAGTTTCCTTGCGCTTAGAAACACGAAATATTTTAGCTTCGATTGAATAGAAACTTTCGATGCAATATCTCGCACGTCGATATTTTGTTGAAAGTTGCTCAGCGCCTGTGAAATAAAAAACAGCAACAAATATACATATGCAAATTAAATATTAACTAATAAAAGTTTAAGAAATAAATAAGGAAAATACCATACATATTATGTTACTATAGTCTTTAGTCTACTATTGCAAACAACTGTGACAACATTTGTGTGTCCTGACCAAACATTAACTGACAACAGGGCTTCGAGCTTGGCAATTAGCCGCAATATTTAGCTAGGATACTTCATGTCTGGACACCTGGAAAAATCATGTAGAGTTATTACAATAATATCTATAAAATAAAAGTGAAAATGACCATTCTAAATTTTAGTCTGCTAGTGAAAATATCGGCATTTATAACAATAAAACAATGTAAACAAATTGCCCCATATTTAATGATGCAGATGAAGTTTGGTACTTATGAACCTAAAATATAAAAGTGCCTACGTCTACTCTCACGAGATCTGCAAATGAATGAAATTGGTAAGTGCTCTTCACTACATCCCACTTGATGTGAATATTTGGGTTTGTTTTTTTTCTTTTGAATATCTCGTATAACATAGAAAAAATGATCAAACATTTCCGTGCAATTCCCACTCGAATTTTCAATAACAATTATACAGCGAAGTTTTAATTGAGATTGCTTTTTTCTGCTTATAAAAAAAATTGATATCACAAAAAGTGAACGAATCTTCAAGTGTTTTAAATTAAACATATCCTTACTAATACGGAATATGACGAAATTAATTAGTTAAATTATTTTGTTTTTGACCTTTTTATTTGTATTTCAACAACAAACTTATTTGTGTTTCACTTCGCTACTATCAAGTATCCTAACATGTAAAGAAACAAAACAGTTTCTATCTGTAATGTAATTGATAACCAATAAATTTATTTCTTTATGTCATCGTTATGATTTTTATCTAAAATTAAAAACGATTTATTGTTATTAATGAGCCATCACCTTAGATCTAATAAAAATAAATTAGGTATTCTGAATTCCTACGATCTGTTATTTTTGTAATTCCAAAATCGTAATCTACACAATAAAATAAAACTAGTAATTAATAAAGAATTAAATATAATAATATGTGTGACTGACCTGCGAAAAAAATCCCTTATTATCTCTACTAAAAAAAAACAAAAAAAGGGTAAAAGAAACAAAAAGTCTGCTTCTATAGATATTTCTATTCTCAAATTTGTCGCGAAAAAAGGTTTTAGGTATTGTTCTGCCAGATTCGTTTCGAATTCATCGTCTGACCTTTCGTCTACGTTTCTCGTCCATTTTTTACTTTCACAGATAATTACGTCACGATGCTCGTAGCCTTATTTGTCTCTGGTATTAAAAAGAAAATAATTTTAATATTCGCTGCCATACAAAAGTTTGTTAATTGTCAACCATAGTTTACTTACTGGCGGAGTGACCGCTGGCGCAGCGACCCAATGTGGGTTTTGGCCTACGACACAAGAGATCGTCAAAGTTGCCTGTCTTGCGCTTTCTTCTGCCATTCCATCGCTTGTAGCTCCCGGAGGAGGATATCTGGGCCGACCGGTAAACCTTATTTTATATGTAGACTAGCTGTCGCCCGCGACTCCGTCCGCGCGGGATCAAAAATATGTAGATGTTGGCCGATTCTTAGACCTACTCAATATGCTCACAACATTTCATGAGAATCAGTCAAGTCGTTTCGGAGGAGTATGGGAACGAAAATTGTGACACGAGAGTTTTATATATAAGATAAATAATAAGACAGCATATTTTCAAGAATAAAATTTGGAAAAACATAACAAATTCAAATCGGTTATGATGGTTTGGTAATTGCCATTTCAAACAAAGTAGCACCTTATGAATCTATTATTTATTACTTTTTAACATATTTGATGATATCCCAGATCGCTTCTACATGCTGTCTCTATCACTGTAGTAAACATGAAGATTTTTGGATATTACTTTGGACAAACTTTATTTTACTGACTTTTCGAAACGTCATGTAATATGGAAGTACGATCTTTAATCTTTGTAAATAGAAAAAAATCTCTCATTAATATAAATAACTAGGCCAAACGTACAACTAGAAATGCAGCCGAATAAAATTTCAAGCGTACCCGGTATTTCCTACTTCATTCCATTTCAATACGTATCGCTATTCATATAGATTTTAACTGCACTGAATGGATTTATCGAATATTGTAGAGCCAACTGTGTAGCAATGTTTTATGCTTTTCAAGTAGTTGAGAGATTTTCAATTAAAATACCATATACTCTACCCCAATCTATGTGTGTGTTTGTATCAAATATACTCCTATTTTATATAGATACGATCTAGAACAATGGAATTAATTTTTCTAAAAAATACTGATTTTCGATATTCATTTTTCCAAAGCCGTTTCATATATCGTTGAGAACAAAATTATCACGATATTCATCCTTCAGGAACTTTCCATATTTTTGAAGGATCCATTACTTTTATCAGAACTAGGAATCGCATGTGTGTAGCAATATTATACCTTTACACGAAAATACCAAATTAGAGGGGTTTTATCGAAAGTTATTGTCAATTCTATACATTTTTGAAGTTCACTGTGGAATCGCCTCGAAGCGAATGCATTTTGTCTAACCGCACAGTTTATAAACTTCCAAAAGTGACAAATTGAAATTATCAAATGAATTGAAGTAAAATTTAGTATTCTTAGTTAAGATAAATGCCCCAATTCAGAACCTAGTTGCAGCAAAACTTAGCAAAGACTTTGTTAGTGCGCTGTATTTGCTTCTCTCAAACTGTTACCTGCAAAACTGATCTGTGATATTGACTAAGTTTGTAATTAATTAAAGTTATTGCAGCGAGGAAAATGTCGTCATGTAAATAAATGAACAGCTGCAATCTGAGACTTGAACTCTCGTTAGCAATTGAATATAAAATTAGCCTATAAAATTCAGCTTTTACCGAATGTTAGATGTTTATTGTAGTGTAAACACCGGACAAAACATGTTTTCATCACATCAGCATTATACACATTTATAACACGCGTTCGGAACTCAAATCAGTTCACGTAATGTTACGGGAATTATACCGTGTGTTCTCACTACCATTTAACTATCCATAGTTTCGGAGAAAAAATCAGCGTTATTTTACATGTACGCACTCTGAACATCTTGGTCCTTCGAGTCGGATCCACTCCGTACAAGTAACTTACACAAATTAACAGACCAAAAGATGAAAAGAAAGGCATGTTTCCTATCCATCTCAATCCCTGTGGAAAACAGTTGTCTCTTCCAAAAGGACACATACAACATATTTCCAAAATTTACAAAAAAAAACCTCATTCATAGGATCTATTTAAAATTCATTGTTTATTCTACGCTTACCATTTTCCTGTTTGTTTCGTTATTTTTGTAGCTAATTATTCGGGAGTGCTTTCGCCACAATTTGTCACAAGAATACTATGCAAATGAATGTTGACAGACATTTTGTCCTTGTTCTTGAATTACTGTTTTTACAAACACTGACAAATAGAATAAGTAAATATTATATTTATTTGCCCAACCGCTATTTTCTTTTTGAATGTTTCTAATCTAGGATGGTTTTTCTACAGCTATTTGTAGGCAATATCAAATTCAATTGTCTTTTGACTAATCTAATACATGTTTGGAGGACTTAAGAAAGAAGGAGGAAATAATTGCCATACCCTTGAAGATGTAATAAAATACGATTCATGATTATTGGCGCTCTAACATGATATAACAGAACAGCACTCAGGATAATTTGTGGATACCCGCAGTACTGGTTTTCGGATTCAACGTACAATTTTACCAAAATGTCCACCTACGATACTCGCTTACATGAGTGTAACGAATCAAATTTTGTTATCTAACTATTAAAGTCACGTTCTATTCAATATATATTACCTGATTCTTAAAATAATTACTTTATAAGAGATTATCGTCGTTTCTTACCAATATAAACGCCTGCTTTAAAATTACTGCAAGATAATTTTTACAAAGTTTCTTGCCGTTAGATAAGTAGTAGGGATAAAATAATTCTAATTACGACGTAAAATGCAAGTTATAGAATTGTATTAAATGATTAGGTACAAGAAATAACTGTAACAGTTTTTTCTACAATGAAAATAAAAGTTCTCATTAACTTAAAAGGTAACGTTCTCGGGAGATATTTTTAGAATATAACGAAAAGACTTCTTTGCAGTAGCGGGCAAAGCCATTTCAAAATATTGTATGTATCTGAAAACGACTGTTGTAAAAAGAATACCCGAAGGAAACTTATTGGAAGACGAAATGAGCCAATTTCGTTTTCGCAGCTCTTTAGAGTGTTCTCGCAAACGGAACACTTTTGTCGTAGAACCAGATAAACAATTTCGACTTTTACCTTTAACATTTTTGAATAAAAGCCTAAAACACTTTTGTGGAATTT